TGAATTAGAAAACCTTCCAATTTGTTGCTTTTCTATTATAATGCTAGCTTAGTGCATGAAAAGAATATATTAAAGAATTATATATAGAGAAAAAAGAAGTCAAAAGCTTTGGAGTCTGCTGCAAGATATGTTATAGCATTAAGGCTCCTAGAAATAGATTATTGGCCTACACTGACCACCCAAGAGGCATTGTGCTTTGGAGTAGTTCATTGTCCATATGCCAAAAGAACTTTCTGTAGTCCCTTTATCTTACCTGTCATACCTATGTACTGCTGCCAATCCAAGTTTTCATTTTCTTTTTGAGATTTTAATAGTCTCCTTAACCACCCTTCTTAGTCATTATTTTTCTTTCTAATATATTCTAAACATTGTTGGTTTAAGATCAGTCTTCCTAAAGCACTGTATTTATTCTGTAAGTCTTTATTTTGCAGTGCCTTAACTTGGTGTCCCTATTTGTTTCCAAACACTGTCTCCTAGTATTGTTTCTTATACATAAAGCAGTATCTTTAAGAGAACATATTTTATCTCAGCAGGAAAGTTAAAAAGTAGTTTTATTATTATTTAAATTATAGTGAACAAATATCTATTTGTTTTCTGGTAAAGGTTCATAGTTCTGGGATACAATATGATCAAAAGAAAAAAAATTACAGGTTTGTTTGTAGGAACAAATGAAATATGAACTTGGTTTCTTACCAGAGCAAAGCTCTTTGGGAATCCAGCAATTTTTTCTTTTCCTTCAAAAAATTTCAGCTTCCTACAGTTTAAAAACTAGAAAGTTGCAGAAGATTTAAAGTCCAGAGATTTAAAGCAAATTATGTATGAACTGTCCACCCTTTATTGCTCAGTAACATTGTAACATATGTCAAGGTTTTCAGGGATTTATGAAATTCCTGTTTTGTTACAAGCCTCCGTAGTCAGATTATCTTTCCTGGTTTCCATCAGGTAACAAGAATGTCACTTTGTACCTCAAAAATTTGCAGGAGTACCCTGAAGGTTTTATGGCTTTCTCCCACATCAAAACAGTTATTTATAACTCTTGTTTGATGAGTTAGATTTTGCTGATGATTTAGACATTTAATTGAAAGTTGCATGTTTAGTCTCAAAAGTATTTATCAAGAACTACATTAAAATTTGAATGATTTCTTTTTTTTTTGTAAAAGTTACAGATTAGGTTATATATACTGCAGTGAAGACAAACTTCATAAATTTAATTGAAGAAATAAAAGACAATATGTGTATTATAAAATATGTTGAAACACTTTTTTAAAAATTAAAGTGCTAAATGAAATAGCCAAAAAATATAATGTGGAAATTTGCAGTGTGGTGTTAACCTTCCTTGTAGCATGGAATTTTCCCAAAGGATGTTCTTCATTGACTTTCAGTTAGTGGATCTGTAATTTCTTCATGCGGTGTGATTAAAAAGACTGTTTGATATTTTGTTCTTGAACATAACTTCCTTATGTTTTGTGGTGAAATGATTTATCTGTCAAGTTATGATTAATCTGAGAAACAGATTTTAAATGTTTTACAATTTTAAATGTTTTATAAAATTCCATGCTCTTCTTTTCAGATAATTTAATCATTTTAAATTCACTGGGTGATAAATTGGCACTGTCTAGAAGTGTTGATTTTACTTAAAATTAAATGCTTTCATTAGAAAGTAAAATGGCTTAATTTTAGTAGGAATACCACATACACCGAAATATAAAGCAGTCCCTCATTTTTCTAATGAGAAGATACAAAATCACAGTTTTCAGCCAATTTAAATTTAGAAACTTTTGCAATGTAGATGAAATAGCCCAATGTCTGTTAACATTGTTGATGTGTATGTAATTTAGTTATGCACAAATTTTTAAATGACAGATATTTAGACATAACTTTCAATTCCTTCATCTCATGCAACAATTTTATTTAAATGCTTTGTACCATTATTTGTCATTATTATTGTCACTTTTAGTCCTGTGACACATTTTTTAAAGCATGTAACTTCAGCTTCTACATGTGCTGAAATGTTTCCCAAGCTATAAGTACTCATTCTTGATATCCCCAAATAATGTGTTACTTTCCATTGAAACCAATTAATGTATTACTTTCAAATACAATCTTTAGAAGGTATGGTTAGTGACATTTTAGACTTGGGAATTATTGTAGTAATTATTGGATTTATTTCATATTTCCTTTCTTTTTTTACATTATGAAAATTTTCAAACTGAAAAGTTGAAAGAATTTTATGGTGAACATTTATGTACCTCCAAGCTAAGTTCTGCCATTAGCATTAGTAAAATTTGCTTTTCATATAGCTAGTCATCCCTCTGTATATCAGTGTATCTTTTTAAAAATGTAGTTCAAAGCACTTGCCTCCTTTTTGATTCTCTTATCTTCTGTAAACATGAAAAATTATTATTAATTCAGGTTGTATCAGGCTTAATGTATCTTCTCCACATGAAATAATTAGTTAGAAAATCACCATTTTGTAACCACTAATAATAACTGATTCAGGCAAGGATCTTTAATGGATGCCAAAATCAGTGGGTGAAAGATTATTAGGGAAAAGGAGATTCACAGGGTTTCAAGTATCTCTACACAGATTTTTCAACTGCAAAGGGAAAATTATATTTTTACAGTGGAAAAACCTGGCAGTCACTGCCTTAGCCAAGTGATTAAGCTTGTATCAATAGTAGGACAGCCTGACATGATGTGCCTTCTGATGTGATACAGTGAGATGTATCAGCACATCACCTATGTGCTGTTTTTGATGGAAATGTATGGCCTGATTTTTAAAACGAGGAAACACAAGTCCATGGTATTGGATGTTTTACAGAACCTAATTCTTTAAATTCCTTAACAGAACCTGAATTCCTTAAAGGCCATGTCATAAAGAACAGAGAGAGGCAAGTTTCTGGTTGAGATTGGAGTAGACAGAAGAGATAAATATAGCCTTGACAGAATTGTAGATTGGGGAAAAATTAAAATAACAATGAAGGACAATTCTGACCAGTTAGGGAAATTTGAGTATGAATTATATGATGTTGAATGAAGTTAATCTTGATTTCTTAGATGTGCTAAAAATGTTTGATTGTAAAGGAGAATATTCTTGTTCTTGTGAGGTACATGTGGAAGGATTTGGGAATGAAATATTACAATGTCTGCTGCCTGCTTTGTGATGGTTTAGCAAAGAAGTGAGTATATGTGTAGAAAGAGTGATAGAGGGGATATGGCATGGTATTAGCAAGAGTCTAGGTCAGGAGTATTGAGATGTTCATTGTAATGTTATGTCACCTCTGTGAGGTTTTAAGAGATAAACCAGTAATATAAGAAATGTTCTAAGTATTTGAAGAAAAAAGGTGAAGCCTGCCTTTCTGAGAGAAGTGGAGAGGCACAGTAATAATTTCATCTTCTATTTAAGCACATGGTAGATGGCTTAGCTTTTTTGCCCTCTAGAGATTTTAGGTCCAAGTGACATGTCATTTGGGGTATGTGTAGCAAAATCTTTATAAGTCTGTGATGAATACTAATCTATCTTATTTTTTAGTTTTGTTTAGAGTTTATCAAGATACGCCTAAATGGTAAGCTACTTTGTATCTTTTTATTCACTAAAGCTTTATTTACATTAAAGCACTTTACAGGAATAAAAGATTAAATGATAGTCATAGAATTCATTAAGATATCTTCTTAACAAAGAGCATATATCTTGGTGTAATTTTATTATGTAATATCACAAAGCCTAACTTTTTAGAACTCCTTTTTCATATGGGAAAAATGTAGAAGCCTCTTTAAGGTAGTTATAAAGATTTTTCTTCATTTCCTATGAGAGTTATATTTACAGAACATAATAAATACGTGCTTAACTTTGAACTTATATTTCCTCACAGTTACCTGAATTCGGGATTTTGCCCTCTTAAGAACTGATTTCTTTTCCATTTCCATATGTTTTCCTTCAGAACCAGAACGTGATCCTGTAAAGATTATTTTAAATACCTCTGATCTAACTAAATGTGAATGGTGTAATGTCCGAAAATTACCAGTAGTGTTTCTTCAGGCGATACCAGCAGTTTATCAAAAGCTGAGCGTGCAACTGCAAATGAATAAGGAGGATAAAGTTTGGAATGATAGTAAAGGAATGAATAAGTTAACAAGTAAGTTGTGTAGAACAGATTATAATAATAAATGCAATCTGTTGAATAGAAGAATGTGAGTACATTTTGGTAGATGGCCTTAGATGTATATTATCTGCAGTCCTTGTATTATCTACAGCTACATTGTTAAGTGGATATTACTTCCTCCATTTTACAGATGAAGAAAAACCCACAGAAAGTGATAGGGCTGAAGGTAAAACCTAGGTTTACCCATTTAGGAAGTTTTCAAAATCAGTTAAAACTCAAAAGATTGGGCAGGGGGAGAAGAAAAATTCAAAAGATCTGCACTCTTTCACACTGTGTAGTCTGAATAAAATGAAGTTTTTTAACTGCTAAGAATATTAACTAAATAAACCATATAAATCTGGAATCCTTGGAACTTGGCCTAAATAGGAAGCTTTCGTGTTCATAGAATGGGGTCTTTAGTCTTTCTAGTACATAGATGTGATTCTCTGGTTTGTTTCCCTTCACCTCTAATATTTATGGCATGGCATGCCTGCTTATAAAGAAAATACATTTCAGCAGTAATTGCTGCTTCAGCTTAATGATGAATAAATGTTAGCTACCACTGAAGCTGCAGGATGGGCACATTAGTGAACAGTAGTTTTGCAGTTAAATTTTCTAGAGATACTTCCAGTTCATTTGGCAATTTCCTATTTGTATTTGACAAAAATATTAACCAATATATTTTATGACTGTGAAGAGATTTGGAATTTATTAGGTGAAGTAAATAATTACAATCATAAATAGATTTGTTCTTGAGCTATTGCTAAAGTAACGTATCCTGGTTCCCTTCTCATTTTTTTTTTTTTTTTTTTGAGACAAGAGTCTCACTCTCTTACCCAGACCAGAGTGCCGTGGCGTCAGCCTAGCTCACAGCAACCTTAAACTCCTGGGCTCAAGCGATCCTCCTGCCTCAGCCTCCCAAGTAGCTGGGACTACAGGCATGTGCCATCATGCCTGGCTAATTTATATGTGTGTCTATATATATATCCTTTTTTTTTTTTTTTAGTTGTTTGGCTAATTTCTTTCTATTTTTAGTAGAGACAGGGTCTCGTTCTTGCTCAGGCTGGTCTCGAACTCCTGAGCTCAAACAATCCGCCCGCCTTGGCCTCCCAGAGTGCTAGGATTACAGGCGTGAGCCACCGCGCCCGCCCCCCTTCTCTTAATAACTTAGGTGACATTGCCAGGTAATATTCACTGGTCTTTATTCTAGCATTTATTGTGTATCCACTCTGTGCCAAACGTTGTTGTGGATATTTATACCAGGGTTCCTGGAAGTAATTAGTTGTTACTCTTTTTTAAGTTATCTATTTACTTATTTTGTTCTTTTAGACTTATAGTTATATTTGTTTCTTTTCAGATTTGGAAGAACGATATATAATTTTAATTTTTCAAAATGGCCTGGATCCTCAGACAAATATGATATTTGAAAATATCATTACTGAAATTGGTATAAAGAATAACGTTTCTAATTTTTTTGCAAAAATCCCCTTTGAAGAAGCCAATAGCAGACTTGTTGCCTGTACAAGAACCTATGAAGAGAGCATCAGAGGAAGTTGTGTGCAAAAAGAAAACAAAATTAAAACTGTAATTATATTTTTAAATATTTTAAAATAATTTTAAATAATGGGTAGTTTTAACAGGAAATATGTTTTATTGCAATACTGCTCATTTCAGTGTTCAATCTTTAAATTCCATTTCAGAATTATTTGCTTTTATATGTGATTTGTAAACTATCTTGGATCACAACAATGGTGGGGAGGTGTAAATTAGTACTTGATACAGGTCTCAGAAATATTTTTTGTTCTTCACATTCTAGTCTTATCTTTACTTTTCATCTTTTTCCTCTCCTTTTTTCTTTAAACCCTGCTCCCAACATCCAGATACTTGTATTGCTACATTCAAGTTGATTGTTACGCTTTGTCTTGGGTTTGAAGGAATTTTGGTCCTTGGTGTATTGTACCTTTATATGTAACATAGACATACATGGTTGAGAACTTGAGAAATGAGTGACCTCGACTGTCAAAATATGTATCCAGTTCAAGAGTAACTACTTGTTACTCATGCAGTTAGGAAACTGTGAAGCTACCTGAACCAAAGGCCACAATACTACTATAATGCATAGTATAATATTAAATAATAGTACAAATATAACTTAAAAATTCCACATTTATCCCCTACCACAGCAACTGCATTTTTCTGGCCTAATTTGTTGGGACTAAATCTCTCAACCTGGTTACAAACTTGGAAATATGGACGTATGGTAATAGTTGAGCAAGCCCTTACCAGAGAAGAGCTGTTATACAGTTAGTAGGTTGGCAAAAGAGCAGAAGGAGGAAGCGGAATCATTCTCTTTTGCAGAGTTGGCTATAAGAGATAATGTCAGAGGAAGAAAAGAGCAACAGAAGCCATAAGGCAACTAGGATTGGACTCAGATTTCAATGGAAAGCTCTTCTAAGGACTGCCTATTTCATTTAGCCTTGTAGAGGGCTGAAGCTCACTAGGCTCTGTTCCCTGGGCCTCTCCTTCCACACCTTATGGATTGCCTAGCCATTGAACATAAGTAGGCCTCTTCTGCTAAGAGAAGAAACTACTTTGGTTTTTTGAAAGTTTCTTTGAGTTTTATTAGCATAATTTTAGGGTAGAAACTTACTAGGTGCTCATGGCGAGTTTGAGAAAGAATTCTCACACAGAATTTAGGGTAGAAAAAAGTACAAAGTTCATGTATTTTCCCAAGGAAAAAAGAGAGAGAGTGTGAGAAAGAGAGAGAAGGAGGGAGTGGCCGAGGCACACAGAAAAAGGAGTGAAAATGTCAGGCGGCTGAGGAAAGTTGCTTGGTGATTTTAAAGAGTAAAAATGGCTTTTTTCCCCCCCCTGCTTCAGCGAGGGGGATATCACAAGGAGTGGTGAAATATCAGGGAGTTCTTTATTTTTTATTTTCTCTGTGAGGCTGGGTTATCTGAGTCCTTGAAATCTGGTTTTTTGAGCAGGAACTGAGGCAGAGAGCTGGAGCAGGGATATCGTAACCCTACTATCTGCTTCGGGCTCTTCAAGGCTGAGAAAATGAAATCTTAGAGATAACTAGTTAGACCACAGGTGTTTTAATTATACAAAACAAAGCGGGTAATTGTGCTGTGAATTTATTTCACTTACTTTCTGTCAAGTGGGTTATTTTTCCTCTGTTAGATAGGTTATTAGTAAGGCCATCTTTTACATAAGCTAATTTAATATGGTTAGTTGAGATCTTAAAAGAAATAAGTTACTGGAAAACCATTATTATATAAGTTAGGAGAATATCACTGTCTAGAGTGGCTGCTAGTTTTGCCTGTTTCTTGTATTTATTGTTAAATATCATGCATACTTTTTAGATTTATATTTTTAATCCTTTTTAATTGTAAACCATTCTTGCCTGCACTTGTTCTTTTTATTGAAAATTTTCCCAATTGACTTTGTGAATTGCCTATTTAATTTCTTTTACAGGTATCCTTTGAATCTAAAATACAGCTTAGAAACAAACAGGAATTCCAGTTTTTTGATGAAGAAGAAGAAACTGGAGAGAGCCACACAGTCTTCATTGGCCCAGTAGAAAAGTGAGAGACTTCCTTTACATATGCAATGCTCTTAAATTTCTTTAACTGTTTTATTACATTTCAGTTGTATATATCTATATAGAGAGATTTATTTGCTTTTTTCTTTATTTTGTATAGGTTGATAGTATATCCCCCACCTCCAGCTAAGGGAGGCATCTCTGTTACTAATGAGGATCTGCACTGTCTAAATGAAGGAGAATTTTTAAATGATGTTATTATAGACTTTTATTTGAAGTAAGTTAATTTTCTACTAACCTGTTAGCAAATGTTTGACATTCTATCATATTGTTTATCTTTGTTTTCTAGAGTCAGATTGTTTGAGTTTTGAATTTTATCACTTCCACTTCCTGTGTGACATTTGGGAAGTGATTTAATGTTTTTCCACTTTTTAAAAATGAAAATAAGGCCGGGCGCAGTGGCTCACGCCTGTAATCCTAGCACTCTGGGAGGCCGAGGCGGGCGGATTGTTTGAGCTCAGGAGTTAAAGAAGAGCGAGATCCCGTCTCTACTAAAAATAGAAAGAAATTAATCGAACAACTAAAACTATATAGAAAAAAAAATTAGCCGGGCATGGTGGCGCATGCCTGTAGTCCCAGCTCCTCAGGAGGCTGAGGCAGAAGGATTGCTTGGGCCCAGGAGTTTGAGGTTGCTGTGAGCTAGGCTGAAGCCACGACACTGTAGCCCGGGCAACAGAGTGAGACTCTGTCTCAAATTAAAAAAAAAATTAAAGCCTAATTCAGGCATTTTAGTTGGAGTGGAAGAGGAGGTGATGAGATGTTTTATGAGATAGAGTTGTTTAGGATATAGAATTAGCAGGATTCCAGTACTGATTAAATGGATATTAAGAAGGAGAGAAATGGATGCCCGTTAACTCCTAGTTTAGTGAAGTTGGCACTTACTGAAGCATTGAGTACAAAGCAGAGCAGGCTTGAGTGGGGAAGGGATGAGTTCCCTTTTAGAGATCTGTGATATAGCAAAAGGGATAGTGCCAACAAGCAGTTGAAATATGGTTCTAGAGGTCAGTTGACTTCTGGCCTGGAGATACATAGATTTAGGAAGCTTTGCTTTGTAGGTTTTTGTTTAATTATGAGAAATTGCTTAGGTAGGGATATAGAATGAGAAAAAGTGATTCAAGGACATACCCTGGAGAATAGTTTTAAGAGACAGGGAATAAAAAGGCTCCCATGAATAATTTCCGAAGGCGTTTGAGGGGTAAGAAGAGAAATCCAGAGAGTGGTGTCATGAAATCCAAAGGAGGTGAAAGCTTTAAAGGAGGGTATATTCAATAGAAACAATATAGCAGAGGTCAGGGCAGATAAGGGCTAAGAATAATTTTGAGGTCACAATGACCCTAAGGTAATTAAAGTCAAATGTAGACCCTATACTGTTTCTGGGGGTAACAAGTTACCCTTCCGCTCCAATGGAGATGGTATCAGTGGAACCCTATTGGGGAGGCTCCCACCCCAATAGGCTTGACCCATTAAGGGCAAAGAGCCCTGCAATATCAGTGAAGATCTAGGAGAGACCACATACTTCCAGGTTGCATGGCAGCATCCATCTTTACCCACTGGAGTGTAGTGCCAGAGGAAGCCTGCTAAGACACAAGAATTAAATAAGACCCATATAGTTGTATATACTTGCCAGCAATAAATAAGATCCAGAGTCTTATAATACTCAAACTGTCCAGATTTCAAATGAAAATCATTTGTGTCACTAAGAATCAGGAAGATCTCAAACTAAATGAGAAAAAATCAGTAGATGTCAACACTGAAAAGACGCGAATGTCAGAATTATTTTACAAAGATTTTAAAGCATCGTTCATAAAAATTATTTGATGAACATGACCATGTGTGAAACAAATGAAAATATCAAACAATATGAAGAAGAAACAAATGGAAATTTTAGAACTAAAAATACAAAAACTGAAATGACTTCAGTGGATGGGCTCAATAGCAGAATGGAGAAGACAGAGGAAAGATCAATGAACTGTCTACGTGAATGTCCTAACAACAAACTCACTTCAAAGTTAAAGATATACATAGCTTAAAAGGAAAAGAATGTAAAAAGATAGACCATACAAGCATTAGTCAAAAGAAGGCAAGGATAATTATATTAATATTTGATAAAATTCT